GGGGGTGCAGGGGTATTTGGGCAGGGGCAGGGGCGTTGGTTGTGGCGCTGTGGCTCGCGTTGCTTGGTGCGGGCTGTGGCAGGTGGGCGGGCAGCAATTGACCGGGGCCAAGGCTTGGAGAAGCTGCTTGGACCACCTAGAGCAATTATGCACAATGTTGCATCAAAATTCGGGGCGCGCAGCAACAAAATGCGCTGCGCGCGATGTGCGCGCAACAGGCCCTTGTGAACAGCGTGAGCCAGCTGTGCAGAAATCGTGGTTCGTGTTGGGGGCACCAGGGCCTGCAGCCCACCTTGATGTTCTGGGTGCTGAAGGACACCGCCACAGCGCGGCGCACAGCCTTCCACGATTCGGTGGCAGCCCCCGTCAGTAGATTTGGGGCGCCGTGGGGGTCGCACCTGCCACGCAGGCCATGGCAGCAGCCAAGCGGGGGCAACGAGAGCAGCAGGGGGGGCGGGGTGTGGCTGGTGACTCGCGCGCCGTGCGGGGCCGCTGGCAGGGGTTGCAATCGTGCAAGGGCGGCGCAGCTGGGCGCGCGGAGCGGCGCGGCGTCGTCCCAGCAAGGGCGAGCGGGGCCCCCACGGCATGCCGTGCCCCCGGTCTCCAGAGCAGCCAATGCGCAGCTGGTGCGTGCGCGCATGCCAGACCCTTCCACCAATGTCATGAACATGCTTTACAGTGCAATCTACAACCAATTCATCCAAGAGCGGCGTCGCAATCGAATCGGGCGCAGGCCCGTCCTCAGAGGCTCACATGTAGTTGATGGTCGCATAGACGCCAGCCGCCTTATCCAGCGCGCCCTCCCCGCGGCCCATGATGGCGGCCAGGGCCTGGGGGTCTGTTACTATGAGCGCGTCCTTCCAGAGGAACTTCACGCGCACGACGCCGCCTGGGAGCCGCGCCGCGCGCGGCAGGGAGACGCGGCGGTTGTGGATGTGAGGGGTTGTGGGCGGGCGAATGGGTGCGTGCGTATGTCTGTGGGTGTGCGTGTGCGGGGGTGAGTTGTGTATATGTATGTCAGTATGTGTGTGTGCGTGAACACGCACGTGTGCCGGTTTGTCTGTGTGCTCGCGCTGATGGTGCTTGCGCAACGAAAATGCCCGCACGAGCAGGCACTTGCGGCGACACCCAAGAGCACCGCGCTGATGTGGTGGTGTGGGTGGGCGGGGCGCCAGCGCCAAGAAACGGTGTGCGAAACGATGGCCGCTCACCATAATCGTCGGCCCACTTGAGAAGGACTTTGTGAAAGTCTGGACGAAGGCACTCGAGCACGTTGCCCACGACCGGGTAGGCCGATTTCCAGGGGCCAGGGATGGCGTCCATGTCGTGCCGCGGCCGCCTGCGTGTCGGCGTGCCGACGGGAGTGTGGGTGAGAAGAGCGCGCGGGGTGTGATGGCGTGCATGAGGCGGCGGGGCCAATTGAGGCCCGAGGGGGGCTGCGCTGGCCGGGGGCGGCAGGTGCTGAAAGCCGCGGCGAGTCGCGGTGGCATGGACGGGTGACGCCGGAATCCAGCAGTGGTCGTGATTTTGTTGCAATTAGGGTACCTGACGGCGCTGATGATCATGTAGACAGCGGCCAGGCCTAAAAGGCCTGCCACGGCCAGGCAGAGCTCGCTCCAGGAGGCTGAAGATGAGAAATCGAGCTCCATGGCCGGTGTATGCGTAAGCTACAGCGCTCTATGTGTTTTGAACGGCTCATTTGTCTATCGACTGCAAACAAAGAAGGGATGCAATGCCGTTTTTCGGACAGCTGCACACACACGGCTGGCGCACGTAGCACAACCTCACTGTCGGGTGGCTGGCACCATACGGCGATAGTGAGGAGCAATATGAGTGATTTCACGCTTGGTCTATTCCAATTAACGAACCGCCGATGTTGTGGTGCCCGACACTCGACGAGACAGCGAGAGATCTGCGGTAACTTACGCGGTATGAGAGTACATGACGCGATGAACATCGGCGTAGCTTGAGATATCAGCAAAATGGCTGGTGGTTGCGCTCAAAATAGTCTCATTGCAGGAACCAGCTGGCGGCGGTTGTTTCTGTATCAGAGCAAGCTTGCTCTCTCGCCTAAGGCGAGACGGGGGGTTGAGCGAGGCGACCCACGCAGAGCATACAGACCTAAGGCGTATGCACAACACGAACGCAGAAACGCAAGGCCTGATGGCACGGAATACTTGCAAGACAACCGCCACTGCCTGTCAGACTGGTACTGCCAACCAGAGCCCCGCGCACGGGCACGCGCCCATACCGCCTTGCTGCTCCGCCGGGCAGCCACGCCCCTCAAGCGCCCTGCGTTCTCGCCCCTGCTCCCCCGAGAAGCGACGTCCCTGCCAGCACAGTTTACTGCTGCGGCCGCGCTGCAAACACAAAGCCCTCGAAATCGGTCACCGCCATCAGGTCCCCTCCGCCCAATGCCGCGTCAAAGCTGTTGATGGAGCACGCCTCCCGCAGCAACACCTCTGCCTGCAACCCCCGGCCCCCCGCCCGCTGCTCCTCCCCGCCGCCGCCCCACCGCGCCTTGCCAGCGCCGCCCCCCGTCCGGCACAGCTCGCCGCTGCCCGTGCAGAACAGCAGCGGCGGCAGGCCGTCCGCGGCCGCCGCGCCGCCCCCAAACGCCTCCAAGGGGTCAAACTTGACCTCCCAGACGTCGCCGCCGCCGCCGAGCGCTGGCGCCGCCGCGGGCGCCGCCGTCATCCGCAGGTCCCACAGAGCCACCGCGCCGCTGCTCCCGCCGCTGGCGCACAGGTTGGGGCGCGAGGGGTGGACGTCCAGGGACAGCAGCCGGCGCGCCGCGCCGCCGGCGGCGTCGGCGGCGGCGCAGCCGGTGCGGCCCCACTCGCGCGGGGATGCGGCGGCGGGCGCGGCGCCGCCGCGGCGGAGGTCCCACAATTCGAGGCCGCCGACCAGCCCGGCCTGGAGCAAGTTTGGAAGAAGGCGCGAGGCCGCATTCACGTCTTGGGAGCATGACTGGCGGAGCCCATGCTGAGGGGTTACAATGTGACGATGCAGCAGCAGGTCGCTCACTCCCTGAGAGGGCACGCTCGCGGGCACGTGTGCGCCTCCCCAGCTTCCACCCACGCCGCCCGCCGCTTACCGTGACGAATGTGTTGCTGTCGACCCACCGGCCCTGGGTGTACCCCGAGAAACCGGCGCCCCGCCTGTATGGCTGCTGCTGCTGCTGCTGCTGCTGCTGCTGCTGCTGCTGCTTTTCCCGCTGCTGCCGCGCAGCCTCAACAGGCGCCACGTAGATGGCTCCGTCCTGGCCCACCGACAGCACGCTCTGCGGCAGGGTTTGCAGAAGATTGAGCGCATGCGGCTCGGCGGCGCTCGCGTGCCGCAGCTTGCACGGCCCTGGGCCCGCTTCTGCCCCAGGCCAGCCCGCGGCCCAATCTGCTCGTCGCACTACAAACATGCATGCACATTTTGCAGCAAGGTGCGGGCAAGGTTGGCCACGCAGGTCGGGGGTCGCACGAGAAATGTCCCCAAAGCACGCGCCCGCGCACCCGCGTCACCCCGTTGATGTCAACCGAAGCGGCGGGCCCCGTGTGCGCCCACGGCATCGCCGCCAGGCAGCTGCCGTCCGCCCCGGGCTGCGGGACCTGCAAGTCTGCCGAGCTGGCCCCTGGGTGGCCGGGAAGGTGCAGCACCAGCAGGTTGATGCGGCCGTCCGAGGAGGCCGTCGCCGCGACGACGCTGTCCCCGAGCCGCGCGGCCTGCGTTGTTTTTGGGGGTGGGGTTGGCAGATTGCCGACGTGCCCTGCCAGCGCCCTCGCGTTTCCTTGCGCTGCCGCCCCTGCTGCGGCACGCCCGCGACGGGTCGGGCAGTTGCGCAGGCAGCTGACCGGACGTTGCATGCTGTGCGGGCAGGCGCAGGGTTGCGGCCTGGCTGCCGATTTCGCACCTGCAGGTCGCTGAAGCCGCCGGTATGTGGGACGGTGAGCTTGTCTGTGAAGCCAGCCATCTCGCTCGTCCCTGGCTGCCGCACGACGTCGCCCACGGCAAGCATGAAGCTCTGCAGGGTGACAGATTGCCGGGCGTTGGGAAGAGGGCGTACCAACGGGTTTTGGGGCGGGCGGGGGAGGCGTCGTGTCATGTCTGATGGGGGCGTCGCAGGCGCAACATAGCCTGTTCGTCTGCATACGGCAGCACGCAGGGATACAACGAGCGAATGCCCATGCACCTGCGCGTCGCCGCTCCATAGCGCCAGCACGGCGGGCACGCCCGCAAGGGTCTGCTCCTCTGTGCTGAGGTCGGCGGGCGCGCACGGCAGCCAGCGGCAGCGCTTGATTGCCGCTGCCATGAAGTGGCGCGAGGGCTGCAGGCGTCCATCCGCGTCCTGATCACAAGTCACTGATAGCACGTCCATTGAGGTACGCTTACGGCAAGAGAGTTTGTGAGAAAAATTGACGATCTCAGCTATGATCTGAAAAATCAAAGCGACCAGATAATATGCAGTTGAGTGAAAATCGGACGTGAAGGAAATAAGGTAGCAAAATAGCTGCTGCCACGTGGCGCGCAAACACATTGTCATCATCGTACCGGCACTGCAGTACTAACGCGGGCAGCGACAGCAGCACTGATGAGAGCAGCTGCTGCGCGCACTCAAAAGGATACCGAAGTGGCGGCTATGGGTTATGCTACAATGAACGCAATCGTGCGTTCCTGTACTTCTTGCTGGCCACGAACACAAGAGGGTTTGTTAGTAACAGGGCAGGAAGCAGACATGGGTCGATGCATCGACTGTGAATTGACTGTGATGACTGTGGTGTGGATCAATTGCCAACCATTCACATGAGCGCCTTGAGTGCAACAGACTAGCAGCAGCTCTTGGACACACAGTTTGGCGTACAGCACACGGGCTCTGCCCCTGCGCAGGGGCAGCCGTTGACATATTTGAGCCAGTGCTGAGCGCAGCGGCCGTCGTCTTCAACAAGGGCATCCCTTCCAGGTATGCCGCGGCGCGCGATGCCAGGGCGCGGCGCCCCTCCCGGCTGCGCCGGCAACCTAGCGTGGCGCAATCATATTCCAGTGTCCCGGAGCACCTTCCATGGCTCTGCGGCCCCAACAGATTGTTGCCGTTGACCCCATCACCACACGCGCGCACCTACCGGCATGCACGCTGCTTGTGATGACCGGAGCTCTGCTGGCTCACAAGAAGGCAGCGCACCAACATCTCCACGCTGCCTGTAGCGAGGTGAATGCGAAGCAAAAGAACTCTAGCAAGGCCGGTCAGGCCCGGAGGTGCGCCCATTGTATGCAGTCCCACCAAAGGCCACCTCTGCTACAGTCATCCATGCATCCCGTTGACCAGACGGCCGGCCACTACCGCGGCGCGAAAACGCCGCTGCAGGCCGTCGCCCTGGTTGCATGTTTCCATATGTAGGGCTGAAACGAATCAATACCATGCCTGACACCGCAAAGTTGCCGTGCAAGCTCTGCATTTCTGCTGTGCCTCTGCCTGCTGGTAATTTGACAGTTCTGCAGCAGCGCAGTGGTTCCAGAGTTCGCAGCAGCAGTGCTGCCCGCAACCTGCATGTTCACATCTATAGATGCGTGATAACCGTCTGCATCCAGTCGTACGTGTGTCACTGGGCTACTTTCAGCACCGTGGTGCTCACGGACATCTTTGTCACCGACAGTCACAGATCCCAGGCCAACGCGCGGAACTGCGTCAGATGCAGGAAACGCACAATTGCAACTAAGTATCACAAATGCACGCTAGCAGCACGCGGCTGCAGCCCTCCTGCTGGCGGAGGCACCGCCAACAGCGCCCACAGTTGCACCAGCGACGCCGAGTTTTGCTCGCCCCGCCTCGAGCGTCCGTTCACCCAGCAGCCGCCGCGGCCTTCGCATTCTTTGCGGGAGCCGCAATCTTCAACCTTGCAAGGCACATTAAGCAGCTGCAGGTTGAGGCAGCTTCTCTACAGGCGCTGCTGTCGCGGAAAGATGCGGAGCTGTCGCGGATAGAGGCGGAGCGCGAGGCCCGGGCCAAAGCCGATGCGCTTGCCACAAGCAAGCGCGCCGCCAGGGCAGCTCAAAGCGCCAACCGCTTGCAGGCGGCGCAGCGCGAGCTGGCGGGCGCCCGAGACCAGCTGGACGCCGCGACGCAGGACGCGGCGGCGCTGCGGCAGCAGCTGTGGGCGGCGCAGTCCGAGGGGCGGTCGCTCAAGAGCAGGCTGGAGGCGGCGCTGGCAGAGGTGCAGGGACTGAAAGAGGTGGGTGGGGCCGTAGGATTTGCCAGCGCAGGCTGAGGCTTGGTCGCAGCGTTCTGTCCAGGCAACATACGCCTGTAGGACAGAAGGGTGCGCCCGCCAACTGGCGGGCTGTTTTGATTCAAAGCGCACGGGCACCTCGGAAGCGTGGAACAACCACAGTCAACACGCGGACGCAGCCAACTACCACCCACCCACCCATGGCTCTTGGCACCCCCAGCAGTTAGCCTCAGCGGCAGCAGCCAGCCCCCAGCGGGCGCTGCCTTTGCCAGGGGCCCTGCCTCGTCAGCAGGCGCCGTCCACAGTGGCGTTCGTTGGCGGCAAAAAGCTGAAGGAAGCAGATGTCAAAATGCTGCCGCCGGGGGCGTCTGTTCGGTTCTTTGGCAGCACAAAGGACATGGGACGGGTGCGCCACAGGGCTCTGCCAGCAAAGTGTCCCCTTGATTTGCTGTATTTGTGGGTGGCGCGCAGCAAGAGGTGGCGTGCTTGCTGTGACCCCGGCCCATACAATTCTGGAACGGCGCCGCCTTTCCCCGACTGCCGCGCTGATCCATCAGCTTGCGCTCACGCACCCCAGTGGTGACACTGGCCGCTCCATGCTATGAGACACGTAAATCTCATCCTCGTCGGGCGCGCCGCGTGCGCGTGCGTGTGAAAACGCATCCCGACAGGGCGAGCTGACGCGGCTTGAGGCGGCGCTCAAGGCCGGAACCATCCAGCAGGTCTACATGATCACGCGGTGGAACGGGCACAGTGAGCCCCAAACTTGGGATCAGCGTATGCACGTGCATCATGTCGGCGACATATGGCTTTGATTTGATCATACCGAAAGAAGGGAGCCTGCCGAGTACCAGCCAGGCCGCTATTGCCGCCTGCACGACCCCACCCTCAGCCCCCCCCTCCTTGGGTCGTTGCAAGTTAGCAGCCTGATCACGAAACCAACCGTGCACTCGCCGCCAGGCGTCACCAAACACGTGCGGCGCCTGTGCCGGGAGCGCGGTATCCCGGTGTTCCTGCTGGACTCGACTCAGCGCGCGGGGCTCAAAGGGGCGGCGGCGGCCGAGCGCAACAGCGGCAGTGGCAGCGGCAGCGACACGGACGGCGGCGGCGGCACGGACCAGGAGTTCTGAGTGCGTCGCCGTGGTCGTCGTTGTTCTTGATCAAATACCGATTGTACTAATCACTTTCCAGCTTGAGCCGCTGTAATGCTTGGATTGGAGTTCTGCGGAGGGTGCCGACTTGTATCTGCTGACCTGCAACCTCAGCCGTCCGGTGCTGGACAGCATTGGACATCCAGTTTGTGATTGGTGTCATCAGTCAACACATGCGGTCAATACTCCGCGAAGTGACACGTGTTGCATATATAAATCAGGATTTAGGGTGTAGGGTGCAGCTCGTGTCTGGCAGCACACCGGCCACTGGCGTGTTGCTGCTCGTCTGGGTCTGGGCAGACCGCACCAGGGGCAGTGGAGTGCATCAGGGGTGCACCCACATGCCACAAACCATATGGTGCCACTGTGCCCGCCTGCGTTCAGCCCCGATCGTGCTCGTGCATTGAAATTGTGTAATTGTGTTCGGCAGTCACGTAGAAGGCAACCGCGGCTTTCCTGAATCCTGATCTACACCGTGGTCATCCGAGGCAGGCGCATACAGCTTTGAACAGCTTTAAAGGTGTGCACCGCGTCTAGTCTCAGCACACGTGGTACCTCTCGTCGGGCCCATTGGCACGGCGCTGCATGAGGCGGCATCACGCCAGCAGCAGCTAGAGCTTGTGCGGGTGCCGCACCCAACGCCATGGCGTCCCCGTCCAATCACCGGATCACCCCACATACGGCAGGTGGCGCACCACACCATGTCAGCCACGCGGCAGCTGCGGCCGCCGGCCGCCTCCCCCGCCGCCGCCCCGCTCCGCCCCCGCGCGCCGCGCCGCC